CTTCTTTCTTCAGCTATTTGTAAAGCTTCCTCAGACAGCCATTTTGCTTTCTTGCATTTCTTTTTCTTTGGGATGGTTTTAGTTGCTACCTCTTGTACAATGTTGCAAACCTCTGTCCATAGTTCATCAGGCATTCTGTCTATCAGATCTAATTACTTAAATCTATTTGTAACCTCTACTGTATATTCATCAGGGATAGGTCATACCTGAGTGGCTTAGTGCTTTTCCCTACTTTCTTCAATTTAAGCCTAAACTTTGCAACGAAAAGCTCATGATCTGAACCACAGTTGGCTCCTGGTCTAGTTTTTATTGACTGTATTAGAGCTTCTCCATCTTTGGCTTCAGAGCACATAGTCAATCTGATTTCTGTGTTGCCTTCTGGTGATGTCCATGTGTAGAGTCGTTTCTTGGGTTGTTGGAAAAGAGTGTTTGCTATGACCACCGTATTCTCTTGACAAAATTCTACCAGCCTGTGCCCTGCTTCATTTTGTACTCCAAGGCCAAACTTGCCTGTTATTCCGGTCATCTTTAATTTACATAGAACCACACAAAAGTATAGAAGGCATCATGTAAACAAAGAATTGAACTTTTTGTACGAGACACCTGCAGAGCAAAAATGATCAAAATGCACACCAAGAGCCAAGCATACTATCGTCTGATTAAAAAAAAAATCATTCCCACATGCACAAGGCATTTTAATGCATTTTTTGTTAAAGAACAGCATGATTAAACAGCAGCCTTTGTGATTAAGATGGGGATGAAAACTAAAAGTCTAATTTTTATCTATTTGATTCGCCAAGGTCATGCCTCAAAGCCCTTTCAGTTCTATTTCTATCAGGTTGTATCAGCTCCAGTGTAGATTTCTTAATCCTACTTCTAATTTTTCAGAGTTCAAGGCTTTTCTTATGTTGTATCTGCAGGTTTAACTACTACTTTAACCTTGGAAGAAAATTGGTTAGTATCTATGCAACCTAATGGAAACTAAGTGACCAAAATTACATGTATTTACAATAACACATATTTAGACTATTACTTTTTTATACACAAAGTACTGTGCTGACTTTCAGATATAATTACTGCTTAAAGTAGTCCTGCTGAAAACAGTAAGAAATAAGTAGCAGTTGTTGCCATGAACTCAAATCCTACTGATTTCATTGGTTCTACACTAAATGTGTGTACGGATCTAATTCAGACTCATGTGCCTAGTAAGTAATTGTGCAGGATTCCAGTTTAATCCAACAGTTGTCATGTATCAAGGGAGCAAAGCTGAAGTGTCCACTGATTACATCTTCTATATCAGTATCTTCCTTTACAAAGGGACCTCACTGGACATGAAATAATTCATCAACATCTAAGTATGCACAATATTGTTAGACTGTGTGCTACTTCAAATACAATTTCTACAGAGAGGTGGGGTATACATTTTAAGTAACTGAAGTAGCAGTCCTATCAGGAAAAAGGCCTAAAACGCCCTGAAGGCATTATTCAAGTTGTCTTTATTTTCTGTCTAAGCAAGCACAAGACTGTACCTTAAGTTTTGAATAAGGAGAAGTGTCCTGGATTAATTTACCCATCTTGCAGTATGCATACATGCAAGTATTGGTCCTGCATTGATCTTCTTAGCTATTTCTAATAATCTGCACCAAAGAAGTAGTATCAATATCAGCAGCACAGACTGATGGATCAGGAAGAAATACAACTACGTGCACATGTTCTGGCCCAAATGCATGATACCATGTAAGGAGTGCACATCAGTGGTCACATTTAACATTTCTACATGTAACGTGCCTGATCACTGTTAATGATTTATTTAGTATTGCACTTCTTGTGGATTTGTCACAGGATGTGACGAACAGATGGGACTAAGCAGATGGTGTTTCAAGAATATCTTAAAACTCTCAGACTGACAAGAGACACAAGTTCTTTATTTTCAGCAACCGCGTCTTCATTCAAGGCCAAGGGACTACATAACCATAGTAACAGACAGAGCAGGTATAAGCCCAAACCCTGCCTGTTCAGGAGTCCAATGGCCTGGCTTTTCCTCTCCTTGAACATCACACAGTGAGCTTCTACTTTTCTCCCTGTCACTGGAACTGAGGCACACAAGTGTCTCCCAACACATCCAAAAAATCTGAATTACAGGCATATCAATTAGCTAATAAAAAGCTACTGCAATACTCTGGTTGTTCTGATTAATGCACTAAGCATATCATATTATTTCAAGAAAGATGAATGAGTTTCGTATTCAAGCATTTAAAGATGCATCATGTTTGTTTCTTTATTAAAAACTCCTACCCTTTTGTGTTAGTATTTTTAATTAGTGCGTGCATTTTTTTTCTATAGTTACACTGAACACAATTAAAATTATTCTATTGAAGCTAGAAAAGGAGCTAGTTTTACATTAAATAAAATGTCACAGTAGTTCTAAATTCAACAATACTATAGCAATTTTTAAAAATAATATCAGGTTTCTCCCACTCCTGTTTAATAATTTGAAAAACTTGTAACTGATTTATATAAATAAATGTAAGTAATGCATTAAATCATGGCTTTAACTAAAGCATGCAAAGACTGTAATTTTATACAATACAGAGATTAAAACTTGTACTAAAAATTGACCTGGCTGAAGAAATAAAGTCAGCTGTACCATCTTAATCTGGCCACTAGGAGTCAGCTTTGTATAGGTCAGAACCAACACCAAATATCATCCAATATACAAGAAATTGTAAATAAAAGGTAGCTGCATTGAGACTGTATCACTCAACATCTGCACATGTAAGGCAGAAAATAATGCTTCCTTCCTAGTAAAGAGAGGCCAAATCATAGCAAATTTCCCTAAAATCCCCCAACACACATACCCACCTCTTGAAGTTTATGTCGCAGAATTCACTTGTCAATTTATGGGTAAACCACGTGTGTCTTGACAAGAAAATGCACAATATTTGCCCTTGGGAAAAGAAATGTGTCCACTGACTTGAAGACTTGGTGAAGAACTGGACTCTTCGGCTGTGCAGAAGAGTATTTGTTGTAAAGAAAAGGGATGCTTAAAATCTCCCCTACCCCAACTGCTGCACTACTCATGGCACCCGTGTTTCAAGTCCATGTTAATCTCCCAAGCATAGTTAATTATTCATTTGCTATATTATATACCACTTCTCATTTGAACACATTTAAAAGCAGTTTGGAAAACAGTATTAAAACACACACACTGTAGTAACATGAAGCTGGTTCAAGTATTACTGTTCCTTCTGCAAGCCATGAAGTCATAACAAATACAATTTCCACAGATATGGAAGAGGGAGAAGGAAAGCAGTGAGGGCCTTCAGGAGGAAAGGGTGGCAAAGAAAGGTTTAGCACCCTTTGCTGCAGCAAAATCATAGACTAGTGGAGTTGGAAGGGGACAGAGAGGATCCAACCCCCTGCTCAGTGCAGGGCAACAAGTCATCTCAGATGACTGTCCAGTTGCATCCTGAATGCCTCCAGCGTGGGAGAACCCACAACCTCCGTAAGTTAATTGGTTCCATTGTCATACTGCTCTAATCATTAGGAATTTCTTCCTGACTTTCAGCTGGAACCTGGCTTCTCTAACTTGAGTCTGTTATTCTGTGTCCTGCACTCTGGAATGATCAAAAAGGGATGCTGTCCTTCCTCTTCGTGACAGCCTTTCAAGTATTTGTAGAATGCTATCATATCTCACCTCAGTCTGTTCTTCTCGAGGCTGAACAAGCCCAGTTCTTTCAATATCTCTTCCTAGGGCTTTATTTCCAGACCCTGGATCATCCCATATTGTCAAGTATTCCCCATCCCATTGTAACAATGCATTTGGTTTCTTTTTCCTAGGTGCACTACTCGGCATTGTTCCTACTGAATTTTATTCTGCTGTTTTTAGCTCAGCACCCCAACTTATCAAGATGACCTTGCATCTTCTTTCTGTTCTCCAGGGTATTCACTATCCCACCCAGTTCTATGCCATCTGCAGATCTGATCATCATTCCCTCCACTTCCTCAGCCAAATCATTAATAAAAAGTTTGAAGAGCACTGGGCTCAGTACTGAACCCTGCAAAACCCCACTTCTTCCTCTCCCCAGTTTGAGAAGGTGCCATTGATGACTACGGAATCAGATTCAAAGAGTAATCAACTAGCTCACATTTTGCTAGTTTGCTAATTAGGATATCATGGGGCACTTTGTCAAAAGCTCTGCCTTAGTCAAGCTATGCAATGTCCATAGTGCTCCCACAGTCCATCAGGGAGTTTACCTGATCAAAAAAGGAAATCAGATTATTCTATTCTGTTCTATTCTATTTATTTATTTTATTTACATATATTTATAGGGCACCTATAATTGCCGAGGCCTTCCTAGGCAGCAGGATTAGTAGGGCAGGATTTGTTATTGAGAAATCTGTGCTGGCTTCTAGTAATCACTGCACTGCTTTCAAGGAGTTTGCATACTGACTGGTATATAATCCACTCCAGAATTTTTCCAGGGACTTATGTCAGACTGACTGGTGTGCACTTCCCAGGTTTTTCTTTTTTCCTTTCTTGAAGATAGGGACAACATTAGCCCTTCCCCAGTCATCTGGCACTTCGCCTCAAAGAGAATAGACAGTGGTTCTGAGAGTTTTTCCACCAGCTCCTGCATAATTCTAGGGTGGAGTTCATTGGGCCCTGGAGATTTGAACTCACTCAACCCAATTAGATGATCCATGACCATTTGCCTATCAGTTGAGCTTTGCAACACAAAAAGGGATACCAAGCTAATACTTATTCACAACTGCTGTGCAATGTGCAATCTAATCCTCACTATGGTCAAAGAGAACAGAAATTTTGTTTTGGTGGTTACTATTGACATAATGAATAAAACTTTGGACCTGACATTTAATATGTTGTCTCATTTCCTGGAAAGCCCTTCTCTCTGTGAATCTCATTGAAGCAGCAAGAAAAACAGTTTTGCAAGCAAAAGTCAAGTTTACACTATGAAGTTAAACAGAGCTAGTACAACCTTGGATGCAGCATATTATCTGGGAACACGCATTCCCCACCAGTTGTTGAAAACCCGTGGGTTGAACCAGTGTTGCCATGCACCATTATATCTGTAGTTCCAAACATCACCATTTGTACTGCCACAAGCTCAGCTACTGTCCGGGTTTCATCTGCTTCTCAATCTGTATCATCCAGTGCGCACTGAGCAAGTATAAGAAAGTAAAACAAAAATCATGTGTATTAGCACATGTGTGAGTATGCATTTTCACTAGAATTGGAATATTTTCTACAGGTGGCTCAGGTTGCCAAGGTTCTCTTTCATATCAAGTGCTGGAAATTCTTCTACCCTTAACTTGCAGACAGCATGAGCATAGAGAGATGCCAACACCACAAGTTCTCCCAGTGGTGTTACACGACTTAGTACTGAAAAACAAAGTTCTCATGAGCACTCTGGAACAATTTGTGTGATATTACTTTTTATATGCCTGAACACTTTCCCCCCTTTCCTTTACTTTTTCATTTTTTTCTTTTCCTTAATTCAAAATTTAAACAAACAGCACTTGCAAACTTGTAAACTACCAGTTGTTCTCTGTACTACAGTGCAAACAATTTTGTTAATGCATCAGAGGGTAGTCTTGGTTGTACTAATACTTCTCCTTGAACTGGGGAAGCCAGGGTTCTAATAAGTCATTACAGATTTTTCAAGGTCAACTGTAGCCCCCAACTGGAGGTTTCCCTCTCTCTTGATACCAGCTATCCAGCCCCCAGGATGGAGCCTTCTATGGGAATTTTACTAGAAGACAGCTTTCCTTGCTTTTAAAGTTGTGTGGGTTGGATCTGATGACATCCTTTGGTCATTCCAACTCTACTATTCTATGATTCAATCAGTTGGGATATGAGATGGAAAATACACTGTTGCATATTCTTTGCCATGTTGGTCAGTAGGTGAATGCATCTTCTGTTTTGTGCTTCTCCTTGTTAAGTCTTCATTAGGTAAATAAAAAATTAACACCATTATACTTAAAAATATTCCCATCACATGAAATAGTCATACTGACAGAAGTATCACTGATCTAGCAAAACATTTATTAGCTAAGTGAATACTCTACAAAACTGAGGCTGAACATCTTCTCATCTTTAGGAAATACATTAAGGACACTAATGTATAATTTGAGGCTGGCTAAAACTTGAATGGAAGCCCATATGAGAATGTGATTTCTCTTTCTTATTTTCAATGACTCAAGTAGGAACATATCCAGGATCTTCCTAGCTATATAAATTTAAACCTTATCCCAAGTTTAAGCTTAGGCCAAGCCTCAGGCCCAGGGACCAAATCTGGCCCTTTTATGGATCAAATCTGGCCTTCAAGAGTTCTCCAAATAAAGTGTTTTTACATCAACTCTCAAGCATCTTGATGAAAGAAATAGAAAGCATAATATAAAAAGGGCCTATTTTTGGAGGAGCTGCATCCTTTGCGCACAACACTAATCTGATATATACTTTTCCAGCCTCTCCAGTCTAATTATGTCAATGCACAAACATAAAGCAAGCTTAGATTTCCCCAGTCTATGGAGTACATCCCGTTAAAGACCTTCAAATAGATTCGTTCAATAAATCGGCTAATTTGAAACCATTCAGACACATGCTACTAAATCAAGCAAAGGGAGAGGGTAGAAAAGTTATAGCAAAAGAGGAATTTCATAATGAATGGACTCTCACTACATGACAACCAACTATAGGTGACAAGCCATGCTGGGTAGTCATATTGTAGGAACCATGACTAATTCCAATAACATGGTTTATTCGAGAACAACAGACCATTTGCGCATACACGGCTTGTTGTAGAGGTTGTTATACATGATGATGTATTGTGCAGTCCAAACTCAGGTGACCAAACCCCATCTTTGGCTCCAGGGAATCAGCCAGTGACTTGCTTGGGGAGAAAGGCAAAAATCCCTTGCCACTTTCACCAAGCTTGCCCCAGCACCTGCCACGCCTAGCCACCTCATTTTCACAGCCATTGATATCTCCTTCCAAGTGCAGAAATGGCACACTGGTGGGGCTTTCGGTGGTTGTGACCCCCCCCCCAACCAAATGCACCCAAGAAAAAGCAAAAGCACTGGTGATCTTTGCTTGAGAAAACTATTTCCATACCCTTAACGGCAACCCCCTGCCCGCTTTGCACTATATTGTTCAAAGGGTGATCCCACTTCTCCAGTTGTTCCTGAGACTCTAATGGCATGGGAACAGGAAAAAGGGGGAGCCACCCATTTATAATGGAACTAGCATATCGGCAATTAACTTTTCCCTTTAAAATGGGTTTCTTGAGGGAGACATACACAGGTAGCAGGAAACAAGCCTTCCCATTAACTTGTAGAGTTCTCTGGAATACCAATGGGAGTATCTAGAGGTAGAAGGGGGAAGAAGAAGCTGAACAACCCACAGTGATCCAGTCATCCATCAGGTGCACCACGGATTGCTTGCAGCGTGACCTGATAGGCTGTGTGAAGTTCAACAATAAGTAAAGCTGGAGAGAGTATGACAAGGAGGAAAGGAGGGAGACAAGAAGGGGATAAGCCTTAAGCTTAATACTTCTTAATTCCAACTTCTTTCAGGAAAAGGATAGCTTTCAATTGATAATATGCACTTGAATTTACAATTTATTTTGTCTGTCCACAAGAGCATCAGAAGTTAGACTGGTGTCTGAAATAAGGAACAAGGGACAAAACAATGTGTTAAGGAAAATACTGGGGATCTTCCTCACTTATTGAATGGAAGATGTAAAAAAGAGTGTACATTAGTTTGCAATATCTAAGAATCCCCAGTCACCAATCCTCAAGGTCTGATTCTGAAGCCTAAAGACAATATTGCTTAATTAACATGTCTGCAGCAGCAGAAATTCAGACATGGCTGTGAACTAAATTCCCTTTAGGAAGCCAAAGATTCTTAGCTTCTACTAAAATTAAGGTAAAACTATAGCTCATACTACAGACCCATGCATTTTATTAATGTCTATTATGCTTTGGTAACTTTTGATGTGATGTTTAACTTGAAAATTTTAGCACCAACAGTGATGAGTAACAGATTTTATTATTTTTTTAGAAACCATGCCCTCCCTTCTTTGTCCCATTTTACAACATTGCCAAGGACAAGGAAGAAAGAAAACTAATCAAATCCAAAAACATGTTTACCTGCCTCTAGCTTTTAAACATATCACATACAAAAATATATAAAGAGCAAGAAGAACATTACCAAAAAGAGCAGGGAAGGAGATGAAAAGCTCATCACCTGGGTTATCCGCAATTTGAAGTGGCAACGGATACATAAAAATGAACTGAGTTGTACAGCCACCTAAGAAAGATTTACAGTATCATTTCTCTGCTAACGCTTTGATGGCTATTCTAACACTTGAAATAAATTCTTGGAAGAAGGAGTGTCTAAAACATCAATATATCCTCTATCTGAACACACCTTGACTTTTATTTTAAAAGGGTCAATGTTTTTTCCAGGTGATAAAATTCTTATGCACTGATTGAAGATTAGATGCTAAGGAAAGTGCAAGGGGCTCTTCAACTCCAAATAGGCCATGCTGTAATTGGACTGGAACATACACTGTTTTCTTAATTGTCCAGTCAGCATTAGTCATTTGTCATTTTGACTGCTAGTGTTAGAACGAATAGGAACACATTTTCCAGAGTTCTTTTTTGGCTCCCCCAAGGGTCACACAAGCTTGTCCTTACAGCTTCTCCACAACACTTCCTTTGCTTTTGACGTGCTTACTCCATGCCACCATGAAAGCAGGCACACTTACAAATGTCAACCTTCATAAGATCTTACAGTTGGAATGGAAGAATATGGTGTGAATGGACATAAACACACTTCCGTCTCGCTGAAGAATCTCATGACAAATCTGCAAATCCTTGTATATTGCAAGGTAAAAGTATTTAAGGAAGGCATCAACTACTTCTTCCCTTCCCATTAACTTGCTCCACCCCACAAATACCTTACAAATAAAGCACATGATCTCCAACACAATTGAATTTTCACATTTTTGTTACACGACATCAAGTCTTACGGTGACCCTATAGTCCTGTCCTTCACAGCCCTATTCAGCTTTTGCAAACTCAAGGAAGCTGTGGCTTCCTTGATGAAAGTGACCCATCTCATAGTTGCTCATCTTCTTCAGCTTTACTTTCCCTAGTATGATTGTCTTTCCCAGGGAGTCTTCCCTTCTCATGATGTGCCCAAAATATGACAGCTTTAGTTTCATCATTTTTTAATTCCAAGGAGAGTTCTGGCTTGATTTGCTCTTGGACTCACTTGTTCATCTTTCTGTCAGTCCAGGCTATTCACAAAGCTCTCCTCCAGCACCATGTTTTGAACAGGTCTATTTTCTTCCTACCCTTATATAAATGCTAACTACTGTGCAAAATACTTTTATTTTGTGACATCCTAGGAATAGTAAATATTGATCAATATCCACAAATTAGAAATTTTCACTCATATTTATACTTTAAATTTGCAAATCATTCTGAAGAGGCACATATTACATGAGAAAGAATAGGCAACCAATGCAATATCTGAAAGTTTGGTTTCTTTCAATGGCAGTAATGCATGGGATCAAAGACTTAATAAAGTCAAGTACAGTGGCACAGATGACCATGCTAGGAGTGCTATGGCACATAGCATATAGAACTGAAAACACAACCTGGCTTCTTTTATTTTTTAAAGCCTTAATTTATTCCTTTTATCTGGGATCCTGACATGTTCTGCTAGATATTCTCACAATTTATTATGCAATCCCAAGAAGGTCAGTAGCACCACCCACTTCAAATATACAATATAATATGGATGAGAACCTTTAACAAATCCATTAAGCTTCAGAGGAACTTTGGAACTTAATCAGGAGATGTGTCATGCATTGCTTCCTTTCCACAGGAAGTATTTACTGAAATCCTACGCTGTCAAAGGTCACTGTCAAACAAACAATTCATTCTTCACTTTCAGCTGCATATATGCTTACTACAGCCAAAAATAATTTTAAGGTCAAGTAATGCAATCTTGATTTTGATCCATTTGCCAAATAACTCTTATTACCCTAGCTAATATTCAGAAAGACATACTTTAAAAGAAATGAGTTCCAAGAAACAAAACCATTTTGCTACGATGGAATCCTATACTTGAGTCTATTCATAGGCAAT